ACAAACAACTCAGGGAGATAAATTTATACCAACAGGTATACTAAAAAAAAAAAAAAAAATTTTTTTTATTTTTTCCATAAAAAACAAGGAAATGTCCGTTTGTTCTATTGTTGTTTGTTTGTTGTTACATTTTTTAACCCTTTACTAAAAAAAAACGTTTTTTTTTTTATTTTATAAAAAAATTTAATTTACAACTAGGAAGTGGAAACAACAACAATAACAACAACAACAACAACAACCAAAAAAAAAAAAATTTTTTTTTCTTTAATTTTTTATTCGTTTTTTTTTTACGTAAAGTTTTATTTACTCTATGACTTATTATCATGGTTATTTAATTTCGTGGGGGGATTGTTAGGGGTTGGGTGGGTTGGTGGAGTAAAAGGCGAAGGGGGAGAGAGAGAGGGGAAGTGAAAGGAAGGACGTCGATGGTTAATAAAAAAAAAGAATTTAAAAATTAAAAATAAAAATTTTTTTATCAAAAACTAATTTTAATAATAATAATAATAATCAAAACAATTTCTTTTGTTTTTTGTGTGTGCGTGTGCGCGTGTTACCTTTTTACAATTTTGCTAAAAATAAAAAAAAAAATAACAATAATTAATTATTAAATAATAATGAATGAAAAAAGAAAAAAAAAAAAACTGAAAAGACGTTATTAACCTTTGGATATTTTTTGTTTTATATATATATTATTAATAGAAATTATTATTATTATTAATAAATATTTCAATTTTTGAAACGACTTTGAACTTTCATGTTTATTTGACTGACAGCCATCATTAATTATTTCAACTTGTTTTGTTTTTTTTTTTTTTTTTGTTTTTTCTCTTGTTTTGTTTTTGTTAAAAGAAAATCAAAAATATTTCAAAAATTTTCTTTTCTTTTTTTAATTTCTAGGTCATCATCGTAAATCAATTTTTATTTTTAATTTTTTTTTTTTTTTTTCGATAGGAATTTTTTTTTGTTTTAAATAAACGTGTGTTTATGTTGTAATAAATTATTATTATATTTAAAATAATTTAAATAAATAAATAATGTTTTTCTCACTACTTAATAAAAAAAATGCACGCGCACTCACGCACAAACAAAACGAAATTTTCGGTTTTCTATTCCTTTCTTCCCCCTGTTGATCAACTACTCGTTGTTGTGATACCTGAAAAAAAATTTTCTTTAATAACTAACATTAAACATAAACATTAAATTAACATTAAAACAACAAAAAATATCGTTAATGATAATGATAATAATGATTTAATTATTTAAAAAAAAGTGCAAAGTCGATTAATGGCGATCTGTGCTCGTGTCATGATGATAATAACAAAAAAAAATAATAATAATAAACTCTTTTGATTTTAATTATTATTATTATTATTATTTTCATATACATCAGATAAATTTCGTTATTAATTTATGAATGAATGAATGAATGAATGAATGATTATTAAAATTACGTATGACGTAATAAATCTACTAAAGAAAAAAAATAAATTTTTTACTTGCTTTCTTTTCGTTTTTCTTCTTGTCGTAAAAAAATCAAAAGTAGATAAATAAATAAATAAATTAATTAATTAATAGATAATTAATAATAATAATAATAATAAAAATGACGTAATTTTTAAAATACTATTATAATAAATATTAATAATTTTATTTTTAGAATAATAATAATTAATTTTAATACTAAATTTTTTTTTCTTTTATTTAGTTTCTACTTATAAATAATAATTTAATTAATTAAAAATTTATTTTACCCATTCGTATAACAATAATAATAATAATAATAATAATAATAATCACAACGTAAATTAATTTTTAAAAAAAATTTAAGAAAAAAAAAGAAAAAAAATTGTTTTTGTTTAAAAATGTTTATAATTAAAATTCAAACCTTGAAAATTAAATTGTTTAAAATTGTTTTTTTTTTAAGTTACGATTTTCACTAATTTTTTAATTTTAATTTTTTTTTTTAGGTTAAATTTGTAAAGATTTAAAAACAAAAATGGATAACAAACAATAATAAATATTATTTGAAGAAAATAATAATAATAACAACAACAAGAGCAACAACAACAAGAACAATAATAATTCTGACTAGTAGTAGGTGAGTTAAAAAAAAAAAAAAAATTTTTTTTTTCTTTCTCTCGTTTTAACAAGATCACGTGATTAAATAAATAACAAATAATTAAATTTGGATAAACATTTTAATTAATATTATTTAAAAAAAAATTATTAAATACATAAATTTACCCTGTAAAAAAATAAATAAATAAAGCTGTTTGATAAGAGCACATACACCATTTGCTTAAATAAATAGGAGAGAGGGGGGAGGGAGGGGGGGTAAACGTTAAGAAAAATGGCAGCCTGCTGCTACATATATATATATAAAATTCACATATTATTAATGAAAACTATTAATTGTACTTATGAAATTCGAACGAAACATCCAAATCAACGGTTCGAGCCAATTTAACAATGTGAGAAAGTTTAACGGCCAAATCCGCAGCTTCATCAAGTGAATCTTTGGCCTGAATACGAAGACGAGATTCTTTTATCATTTTCGTTGCCTCCTCAACGTTGGTCCCCTAAAATCATAAATAATAATAATAATAATAAACAAATGGAAAATTGAGAAAGGAAAATAAAAAAATTACATAAATGCTATTAAAAAATTACCTGAAATTTTATGTAGACATTTTTATTATTATTATTATTATTAAACTATTTAAATTATTAGATTAACAAACAAACAAACAACAAAAACAACCGAATCAAACATTATTATTATTATTATATAGTAAGTAAAGAAATAAAATAAAATAAATAAAAAACAATTTTTTCTAAAATCTATTCTTTTAATATTATTTAATAAAAAAAAATAAACTAATTTATTAATTAATTGTTATAAAAAAAAAAAAAAACTTGTCATGCAATAATTATTAAAAAAAAAAAGGAAAACAATAATATACATAATGTTTAAAATCGTTAAATTAAAATAAATAAATACATAAATAGATAAATAGGTAGATAAATAGATAGGTGATAGATGCGTGCACAATTTTTTTTATTTACATTAATAATTCCGTAATTTAATTAAAGTAAATTAATGTTATTTTAATATACATGTGTTTATGTATTATTATGTATATTTATTTATTTATTTTTTAATGACTGTAAAATAATAGCAAATAATAACTTTTTAACCCTGAAATTCAAAATTAACAATTAAATTAGATGTTCTTGCAAGTTTTGATATGCTACTCAATGTCACGACTAATTTAGCTGCTCTGTCCAAATCTTGTTCTTCTTCTATTCTTAATTTTGATTCTTTTATTATTTTATTACCCTCTTTGTGATAGGAACCCTAAAAATAGGACAGGAAGTAAAATAAGGAAATGTGTTAAGGATGTTAAAGGATTAATTGGAAAAATTTGAATTTCAAACGAGTCAAATACTTTCTTTTTTTTATATAAAATTTATATAAGAAAAAAATTATTAAAAAAAGTAATAAAAAAAATCGATAATAATAATAATAATAATAATAATCACAATAAATCAATCACAAAAATTACTTTACCTTCAACAACTACGACTCAAGTAATTATTTATTAATAAATGCATTATTAATTTAATTTACTTTAAATTGTTTTTTTTTATAAATAAAATATAATAAAAAAGGCTAAAATTTTATATATATATATATATATATATATATATATATATATATATATAGGTAACTCTCAAAATAAATAAAAAACCTAAACCTAAAAATTATGATGAATTTAAAGGGATAGAGAGAGAGAGAGAAAGAGAGAGAGAGAGAAAGGAAAAAAGGCACTGTTTAAATAAACTCCGGAAATTGAATTTCGATTAACGATTACTGAACTTTACTATCAATCAAAATAATTTTGAGGTTAAAATGTTTTTTTTTTTTTTTTTTTGGTGATAAACTTATTAGTTCGTATAACCTTATAAGCAGACGATAATAATTTAAGAATTTTTTTTTTTTTTTTTTTTTTTAACCGTGACAAGAAACGGATAAATTTATTGATTTAGCTAATCTAACAATTTTAGAGAGCTTGATACTCATTTCGGCACCTTTTTCCAAATCATCAACCGAATGAATTTGCATTCCAGATTTAAGAAGCATTTCTTTAGCTTCCTTTGATTTCGAACCCTGAAAACATTAGCAAAAGGCAAAAGCAACAAAAATGAATAAAAAAAAAAAAAAAGTAAATTTCAAACAATTTCAAACCGAGCCAATTAAAAAACAAAAAAAAAAAAAAAATAGTGTTCGGTAATAAAACTAATTAACTACAACAACCACTAAAATTTTTACTACAAGCAAAAAAAATAAAAGTAAAAACTATACAGTCGAATTTAAAATCATGCGGGGGGTGGGTGGTGGTGGGGTGGGAGAAACATACCTGAAGCCTAACAATAATTGGTAAAACCAAATTCAACTCTTTGGCTGCTGCTATGATACCTTCTGCGATAACATCACATCTCATTATTCCACCGAAAATATTTACCAAAATAGCATGTACCTGAAATACATCAAATTCTATTTTCAATGTGAAAAAATAAATGGTGGTCATACGCGTTTGTGCCTGAGGGAAACCTTTGGATCAGATGTAATAATTTTAAAAGCTTCTTTGACGGCGCTAGCAGTGGCACCTCCTCCAACGTCTAAAAAGTTTGCCGGTTCTCCACCGTACAATTTAATAATGTCCATCGTGGCCATGGCCAAACCAGCTCCATTCACAAGACATCCGATATCCCCTGAAATTTAAAAAGGACTTTCTTCAATTAAAAAATGAAATCATTTCGTATTCTTTTTAAATATCTATGAGTATATATCAGACCATCTAGAGCAATGTAATCAATCCAAATTTTGATGCTCGACTTCTTCGGATCTCTTGAGACCAATCTCTAAGGTCGAATAATTCTTTTTGACGAAAATCAGCATTGTCATCGAATCTGAATTTTGCATCCAAACAAAAAACTAAAAAGGAAGAAAACAAATTTCGATTAAAAAAAAAAAAAAAACTAACAAAAAATATTTTCTTTTTACAGAAATCATTATAATCGTACAGCCTCCATTGACATCTTCAGCGTAAGGATTGACCTCAACAAGCAAAGCGTCTTTCTCCATGGCCAAATTATATAATTTCATAAGCATGTCAACAGTGGTGCTCATTTCCTCATCCAAGCCAACAGCACTTGTAATTTTTTTTGCTTGTTCTTCAGTGAGACCTAATAAACACAATTTAGATGTTTGTAAGTAAACAAATCACAATTAAAATGTACTACTCGCATTAAGATTGATTAAAAAACCTTTTTTTATATCGACAGGTTCATAAATTATTGCATTTGGATTTTCAGCAGCAACGTCTTCAATGTTTACACCACCTTCACTAGAAGCTATAATAACTGGGCCCTGAAGAATGTAATAAATGATTTTTCCATTAGATGACTGAACAATTTAAGTAATTCGAAAAAAAAATCAAAGTGAACCTACAGCAAAAGATCTTTCCATCATAACGGCAAAGTAATATTCCTTTCTTGGAAATTTCCTTTCTGTTACCATTACAGAATTGCATATTCTTCCTTTTTCTCCAGTTTGCTTTGTAACAAGGTATTGTCCAATCATTTTCGAAGCGACTTCTTTGGCTTGGGTAGGACTGAGTAAAACAAGTTTTAAAAAAATTACATAACCATTATTATAATTTAAAAATAATAATGATGTTTTGAAAATTCAAATCATATAAAATAACAGCGCACATCATTCATAATTTTTAAATAGTAATAAAAAATTTTTTTTAAGGTACATACTTGTTGACTAATTTGACACCACCTTTTAAGCCATTTTTAAAATGACCTTTACCCCTACCACCGGCTAAAACTTGAGCCTTTAAAACCAAATCTCGAGTGTTTAATTCTTTTGCTAACTTTTCAACTTCATCCGGAGTTTTAGCAACTCCAAACCTTAATTAAAAATCAAAAATAATTATTATATTATCACCATAAGTATTCAGGTTTAAAAATGTAGAATTTGGAACCTACAATGCCTTACCTTGGCACAGGTATGCCTGCATTTTTTAATAATGAATAACTAACATGTTCGTGAACATTTAAATTTCTCTGCTGTTGTTTTTGCAATTCTCCAGAGGCTCTAAGGAACTAAAAAATGTGCCAAAAAATTAATTTATCAAACTTAAAAAAAATTATAGATTTTATGTAAACATTTTTTCTTATACATTTAATTAATTAATTAAAATTACAAATGATTTATTCCAAACAATAATATTTTAATTAATAAATTTTTAATTCATTTGTAAGAATGAATGTCATTAGATAAAACTGTTGTAGTCCTTTATCAGTGTTTTAAATAATAATTTTTTTTTTTTCAATTTATAAACATTTTAATTAGATAAAAAAATAATTTTAAAATTAAACATGATAAAACTGTCTAAAAGTTAAAAATAAATAATTTATTGAGATAAATCTTTTTAAAAAATGTCGATTTCAACTTTAAAAATAACTTTTTTTTTTTTTTTTTTTTTTAAACAATTGAAATATATAAAAAGGCACAAAAATATTTTTCGAATTAAAAATAAAAATTTATTTGTAAATATGGACTCGTATTAAATGATACATTTTTAGATTTTAATTAAAAGATGAATTTTAAAATAATTTTTCATTCTATTTTATATGTACAGTTGGGTTATAATCATACTAATTAGTATAAAATGATTTAAACAGGATAAAATTTATATTTTTAATCTTTTACTACAATTTGAAAAAAAATTTCAAATAAAAGTATCTAATCTGAATCCTACTCATTATCATAGTAGCAATAAAATTTTTTTAAATTTAATTCTTTTAAAGAATTAGTAAAAACTAATTCCAAGAAACTAAGAAAACACAATAAGGTTTTTTTGGCTACTATATTTTATTTGAATTTTTATTCTCCACACACAAACACACCCATTTTAAACAAAATTATACCGTAATAATATATTTAATAAAGAAAATATTTATGTCTGAACATTATACTAACAATAACTAATCATTTTAAAATTATATTTCAGGAATTCGACAAAAGGTAAGAATAATTTTTTTTATTATTAATAATTTTTGTCATTTTAAAAAATTACAGCATATGCTATGAATAAAATATTTATACCGATAGCATTGGAAAAGTGTCCTAATTAAGATTATAGACTTTTCCCTTAAGCAACCTTCAATTTAATTTCAAGAAATAAATTAAGAAAAATAAAAAAAAATAGATTTGACTACCATAAAATATTATTAGTATTATTAAAATTAACAGAGAGATTTAAATAAATATAAATAAATACCTTTTGTCCATTATTTTTTAGAAAATTAGAAGTTAACACAGCTCCTCTGTTAAATATTGTAGCCATCTTTCATGAAAATCTAACAGACGACAAAATTTTTGCTGAGCCAAGGTATACAAAAAAAAATGTTTTTTAACTTTATATTTAATTAATTTTACAAGACTATCATTAAGTTTTACTTAAAGTGAATAAATAACACCGATTAATTTTTTAAAACTAAAAATATACGTTTATTTTATCATTTAAATAAGGTATGAGCTTATAAAGAAAAATTTTTTAAACTTTTTTTTATTGGTCGGAACTAAAAAATTTAGTCATCAAAAAAAGCGCTGGTTAAGTGGCGGTTAAAAAAGACGCTTTTATAACTAACATTCTTTTTTCTTTTTTTATTTATTATTTATTTAAATCGGTATAATGCATAGTTGTGAGTTTTACATGGACTCAGATGAAGATGAGATTTTCTTCACTTGCGTTAAAGAAAAAGATCAAAGTTTAATTTCAAGTAATTTGTCAGGTAATAGTAAAAAAAAAAAAATGCATATGTTTAATATTGTTCGATTGTAATATTTAGATAAATCTAAAAAGTTTAAGAGGTTAATTTTTTTAAAAAATGTTTAATAAGTATAACTTATCTTTTGCAATCAATGTTATTGTTACAATTTTTATAATTTTTTGTAGTTGATGAACCTGGTTCTGAAATTTTGAAACCTAAAATTGTTGACAGCTCTAATGTTAACACATTAAAATCTGATTGTAACATTACATGTGCTAACGAAGATGAGTTTCATAGTTTTACCACAATTGATACATCAATTGGTTTGGATCACAATTACTCTTATACCAAGACAAAAATAGATAAAAGTATCCTTGACACTCCTAAAAGTGTTGTCAAAGCAGATGAAGATGGTGGATTTTTAAAAGTTTTATCAGAAATAGCATTGGTTAAAGCAGAGATGGATAACAATAAAATGGATGAAAACAAAGAAAATAAAGGATTTTCAATACCTGAGATAAAAATAATTAATGCTACTCCTGAGAAACTTTCTTATCAGAATGTATCTAAAGGTATTACTAATGACAATTCACTGAATAATATAAGGGACAAATCTAATAAAAGTAAAAGTAAATTACACAAAGATAATTTAAAAATTGGTAAAAAGAATTCTAATTCTGTTTGCGAAAGTGATTTTTTAAATAAAGAAAACTATCAGTTTGATAAAAATATCAGTAATAAAGGAAATTCATGGCCCATTTCATTAAAACTCAATAAAACACCTTTGTGTGAAAAATATTGTGACAACAAGAAAAACAAATCAAATTATGAAGATGACTTAATAACTTTGGAAGAAAGCAAAAAAGAAATAAAAATACCTGATTCTGTAAAAGAGTTTAATGAAATAGTTACTCATGTAAGTAAGGAATCTCCTGAAATTATTGAAAATAATAAGTTGGAAACTTACAGTGCAAACCTAACTGATAATAGAGATTTAAATATAATTAAAAATGATAAAAATACTATAAACAAAAATATTTCTGTAATTCAAAATGTAAACATTGAAGTAAAAAACAATTACTGTTACACAACAGAAGTCGAAAAAAAAAGTTGCCATTATAAATTAGAAACAGAAATAAATGAAGTGATCACACAAAAAAATGTGAGCGTAACAGAAAGAAAATATCAATATGAAATAGATAAAAATGTGCAAGAAAATTTAAGTAAAATAAAAAATTTAAACATAAATTCTAAACCAGAAATTATAATAGAAGACAGTGAACCAAATACGAAGAAATTAAAAATTCCAACCAACTATAGGTTTTCTAAAGATGCGAGAAAAATATTAGAAGTTCTTAAAAACAATTCGACGGAAAATTCTTTCAATGTGACAATTTCTGAATTAGAATTGGAAAATGATGAAATCCCTTCAGTTTTATCTGAATCCCTTCTCAGATTAGATGAATCAATGATATTAAAAAATTACAATTTGCCTACTGTAAATAATGAAACTCCTATTATGAAAAATAATACATTAATGACTTCGAATAAGCAAACATTGACTGACAGTAATATAAAAGACTACATGGGAAGTAAAGTTAAACTTGAGAAAAATTTTAATAAACCTGCAGTTCAACCTGAATCTACAAAAAACATTAAAAAAAATGTAAGAAGGTTACCTGTATTAAGCAAAATTCCTGCATCGAAAAGTAAGTTTTTATTCTTATTATTTATTACTTTTTTAAGAAAAAAAAATTTTTATAATTAAATACTTTGATTCTTAATTCATATAGGTACTCCATTGAAGAGTAACAAAACCCCGACTGCGAGTGTCTCGAAAATACCTGTATTTGAATATAAAACATCAAATATTGCGTCAAAAAAACCTAAAACTATAAGAATGACACCATTTAAGACTGCTTCAGGAATAAGTTCATCTAATTCAAAATTTAGAAATGTGAGAAATGTAAAAAATTGTGAGAATGGTATATGTGAATAGATAGACAGAAGTTTTGATTTTTTCGTTTTTAGATTGCCAGCCCAATTAATGCTTACATTCATAACAAACCAACAGCTCTTATAGTAAATGTTAAAACAGATGTTAACAACAAGAATAAAAATTTAAGAAATGAACTGAATGGAAAAAGTACAAAAAGCGAAATTCAAAAAAATTTTAAGAAAACATCATGTAACGATTTGCCATTTGTTGAATTTAAAAGTGCTACACCGTACAATATTGTGAGATTTACAATCTAAAAAAACTTCATTTTTTTTCTTTTCTTCTAAAAATTAACAATTTTATTTTATATTAAACTTATAGGAAAAAAGTGGTGAAAGCAGACTACCTCGATTGGCACCAAATTTACAAAAGTTAATAGGATCTACTTCTCCTAAGGTTTTAAAACACAAGGGTAGGTTTTTTATGAAATCTCCTGCAGTTAAACCTCCTCCTACATGTAATGATACAACAATTATGGCAGATATAAATGAAGTTTCCGTAATGGTCAGTCAAGCAGCTCAGAAAAGTAATACTTTAAAGTGATTTTTTTATTTTATTTTTTAGAATTTTGTTATTTGTAATTTTTAAATATTTTTATTGCATTATTTACTGTTTTTATCATTATAATTTAAAACAAAATGAAAGTTATTTTTTTTTAATTATTAATTTTCGTATTAACTTATTGAAAATATCTAAAATTAAATTAAAAAGTTTACAATTTTGACTTAAACATCGAAACGCTACTCGTAGGGGGTTTTTGTAATTAAAAGAAATTCCATAGAGTAAATAAATTAAAATATATTATTATTTTATCCCTATTTCAGCCTATTTTAACGAAAATCGGCTTGTACATAATTCGTAGTAGTTGTTAAATTTTATGTTTTTAAGAAAATAGTTTTTTTTTTTTTTTTAAAATGTGATGATATTTTACTAATAAATGTTTGTAACGCTTATTTAACCATTCATTTAAGTTACCGGTTTTACAGTTGTGATGTATAAGCCACGTATCATTTTGAGTTAATGTATGATTTTGAAGTTTACAATTCAAACTTTAATTAGTTATTTATTTGCTTTGAATTGTGAAAGAAATAAAATTTTTTTTTTTTAAACTAATGAACATTTTATTTTATTAAGTTATTAAAAGAATTAGGTATATATATTTCTATACATATATCATCCATATATTTATAAAATACGGTTTTTTTTTGTATTTTTAAGTTTAAACTTTAATGTATAATAAAAAGTGCTCTTAGTCGTTTTTAATGCATATTTTTGCAGACTACATGAGGAATTTAAAATTAAAATATAATACATATATTCTAGAATAAAATTCTTTAAATTGTAAAGGAGGTAAAAGTATTAAAATTAAATTTTTTTCTTTTTTTTTTTTTTTTTATTTTTTATTTTAGACTACTTATTGATTTGAAAAACATTGGTATTAATTAATAAAATGCGTCAATTAAAAGGAAAAGTAAAAGAAACGAATAAGCAAAAAAAAGAAAGAAAAAGAGACTTTTTAGAAAACAAAAAGAAGGTTTTTACAGTAGTATTACCATCATTGGCAGCTGTTTTTTTTCTTATCGTTATTTATGTTTACTTAAAAACTCAACCAGCAATACCTGCTGATGTGGGTAGATAACTCAACAAAACTTGATTGATTTTTTCTTAAAAAATTTAATAAAAAAAAAAAAAAAAAAAAGGAAAGGAATTAAAAGTTATTATTGCAATTTGTTTAATTATATAATGAAATTTTATTGTTCTATTTATTTTTCAAATATAAATTTTACATATATTTTTAATAATAATTTAATAAATAGTTGACTTACTCTTAAAAAAAAAAATTGCTGTTTGTTTTTTTGAAAAAATCAATTTTGTCTTAACTGAAGTCGAAATTGACTTTTATCTCGTTCATCCTTTATTTAAAAACAAAATAAGGTAAACAAATGATGAAAAAACATACACACAACTGCAATTATTTTTGTTTATATTTATGAATGTACAATTTCATTAAATCTTATCTAAACTGATAAAATTGTATTTAAACAAAATTCAATACTTTTATGATTACAATATAAATTAATTTTTAAAAAGTAAAAACAAATACTAACACAGTTAGTAATAATGTATTAAAAATTATAATAAAAATGAAGGATATGTTAATATTTAGCTCATTATCTTCGAATATGTGTTGAATGGGTTTTTAAATTAATATCGTAACACTAACACAATCGACATAATTTTTTAATATGTATTTTTTAAAATATATGCATAATTATTCAAAATATTTATACAATATTGGTAATTTATTTTCAGATAATTTTAATTAAATAAAATAATTCATATGTAGATAAATTTTCAAAAATTTAAATAAGCAATTATTTAATTACTCACATTTACAGTTTATCACAAAAACTATAGAAATTCTTAAATTATATTTTGGGTAATACAATATTTAACTTTCATATTTTACTTATTAAATAACTCTATTGAATTTTAATAATTGTAAAGAAATTGATAAATAATTTTAAAATAAAATAAGAAAATATTTGTTTGTAAACATTTATAGAAAACATTAAGTTCAGTTTTGTTGTTTTGCTTTGAACTCTTTTAGAAATGCACGTTTCGTAAGTATAAAAAAAAAATTGAATAATTTATTATTTACAACATGATTTATTTTTATTTATCTGTAGTTCGTAATTTATTTGGGTTTAAAAGAAGACATTTTTTGTATTTGATCATTAGTCTTATATAATCACATTATATTTTTAAGTTGGTAATGAAATTTATTATTTCGTTTTTCAAAAGTTGGTACCGAATTTAAATTTACAGTTGGCTACATTCATTATTAGTGAGCACACGTTTTTATGGGTTAGAAATCAAGTACAATACGATACATAGTGTTGTGGTTTTTAAAATTAATTAATTTTTAATTGTTTAATAAGTATTGTTATAAATTTAAAGTTAATAATTATATAAACCTGTTTTATATAGACAATTATCTGCAATGGATTTTATTCCTTTGACAAATGTTAAGGAAAAAAACACTAAAAATGAAAATGAAACAGATTCTGATATTTGTGATGAAAACAATAGCAATGATGGAAATTTAAATGATAATAATACTACTGATGGTATCGATGATACTCATGGTGTACCTGATAAAGGAAAATCTTCAAAACAATTAAAATATGAAGAAAAAATGAAAAATCGTTTGTTTGTCAAAATGAAAAAACCCATTTATTCAGAGAATCAAATTAAAGAACTTCATCCTGATATAAAACAAGTAATTTTTCCAAGAAAAAAAAGATCAAAGTAAGTATAAAGTAATCATTTATATTCTTAATTTTATGCTGTTTTTTTTTTTTTAATTAAAATAAATAAAATGACTTTTTGTTAAAAATTATCAGAAAGGTTATTGTTAATTAAATACTTAAACTTATATATACAAATTTCAAATAATTATTTATTTATTGATAATTATAAAGTATATAAAATTGAGGTAAATAATCTTATTTAAAAAATTTTTTTTTTTTATTTTTAGGTGGTGTTGGGCAGTTTTTGTATCTCAAACGAAAGCTCAAAATGCTTTTCCAGCATTAGCTGAAAATAAAGAAATTTTTGTATCTAGACCCAATTCTTACAGTAGAGTTCAGTTGAAACGTGGAAAAATAAGGCAAAAGAATGAGCGTAAAGCTAATGCGACACAAAAATTATTAAATTTATGGACATAATTTTTTCTTTTTTTTTTTTTTTTCATACATAAATTTTTACTCGCAAAAAAAATTTTGAATTTTATTTTTTTCCTCTGAATAAATTTATTAATCCAGGTAATTCTTTTGGTTTAAAAATAGAACTTGTTGCATTCGTAAATAATCCATCGATGCTTTTTGCAATTATCGATAATGGAGAACATGGTTTATTGACTTGAATTCCAGACCAAAGATTCATTTGACATTCTCTAAAATGTTCGCCAAATTTTGACTCAGGTAAAATAGAAATAAAATTTGGAAAATTTGATATTTTTCCAACATCGTTCCTAAAAAATAAATTTTAAATTTACTTGCGTTTTGTGCATATATATTGATTTTAAATTTTATTTATTCTTTAGTTAACCTACATTTCATTGCTATTCCTGGCAAAATTAGATATTAAATCTAATAGATTATTACGAACTTTTTCATCATCCGGATGTAATGGAGTTGATTCATTTTGAAATGTGAAAGGTGTACCATCCAAAGACCGTAAATCGAAAAGATAAGGTAGATCTGAACCGTGGGTAGCCGCTAATACGATAAAAATATTTATTAAATTAAATATATTTACAAAACACGCGAGAGATAATATAAAATTTTACCTTCAGATTCTTCATTATCATTAGAATCGACTAATAATGAACCTTTGAGTAATTTTCTTACTCCTCGTAATTTTCCAACGTGATCAAAACTATAAAAAAATGTTGGTATCCTCTGACGAGTCCATGCTTGACTTATAAGGTAAGCAGGAAAATTAAACAGGGCATCAGAAGTTGCCTGAAATATTTTATACAAAAACATCATAGCTTGTGATATGGTAAAAAATGTTTATGATGGACAGGAAAATAAAAAAATGAAAGACGTCGTGAGTTACACAAATAGAATTTTAAATAATTCGTTATAACGTTAAAATATTACTTACTTCAATAACGTTTGATAATTCATCTTGAAGTGTTTTTTTAAATTGTCCCAAATAATTTCCTTTGAATATTTGAAGTGGATTAGTCGCCAACGAAGCAGCAGAATAAAATCTATTTTTATTTCGTTCTATTATGTTTGGTAGCAATACTAAAATTTACAAATATAATTTTTTATTTCCGGTTACATTAAATAAGAAGAAAATGAGTTGGATAATAATTACCATCATTTACATAATTAGGAAAATTTTTCAAACGAGTTATAATATTGTCTTTTAGTTTTCCTCGAACTGCTCCAGCAGTTTCATGTTTGGTAACACCCGTTAGAAGAGGAATTCTCGGTATGTGATTTAAATCGACGGCAGTTCTTGGTTCTTCTTCTAAATAAGATGGAAGAAATCTAAAATCGTTTGGATTTTCTATAACTGGAGAAGGTGTTAATATCATTCCAATGCTTTCGATTCCCTTTTCGGCTACGTTTTCATTCTGGGAATAAATAATTATTCGTTTGAAGGAGTTTTAGTTTTTTTATTATTAAATATAATTCATACTTCTATTTCAGAATCTGATAGAATTAATTTTTCAGCTGGAATTTCTCTCATGCATTTAATAAATTCAACTGTTGGACTTGAAGGGCATCCATTTTTATCTGCTATTTTTTTTGTTGTTTCTTTTGGTTTATCATCCAAAGCCGTTGGAGAAAATGGCGAACCGCTCATGGCTATCATACTTCTGGCTCGACCTTACAAACAATAACAAATAAACACAAAATAGGAAAAAATGATTTTTCATTGATAATTAAATGTAATTAAATTATTTTTTACTTTGAGTTACATTCGATAGACCCATAAATACGGCACTGGATGCTCCGGATCCTTGTCCAGTGGGAACAATATTTTGAGGATCGCCACCGAAAAATTCAATATAATTTTTTACCCAGTCAATTGCTGTTGCAAGATCAAACATGGCGGCGTTACCAGGAAGATTTTGATCATTATTGCTTAAAAAACCTAGACAAACATAATTACATGATAAACGTCTTGAAGTTTTTTATTTGAAACAAAAAAAAAAAAAAGAAACTAACCCAAGGATCCTAAACGATATTGAACTGTTACCACAACCACATCTCTTCTAGTCAAGTAACCTCCTCCATATTGAGCAGCAGATCCTCGGCGATAATTACCACCGTGAATCCAAAATATAACTGGAAGAGAGGCTCCAGAGCCAGGAAGCTAAAGTAACCTCTTTTTATTTATAATATCAAGTACTCATAATGTGACAAAAATAATTTTTATGTTACCTTAGGAGTGTAGATATTTAAAAACAAACAATCTTCAGAACCAATTACTTGATTTGGATAGTCTGGATTTGGCTGAAGACAAGGGGATCCATATTTTGTTCCCTTAATGTCTCCTTCCATTTTTAATTTTTTAGGTCTTTGAAATCTATATTTCCCAACTGGTGGTTCTGCATATCTTAATCCAGCAAACGTGTAATAACTGTGTGGATAAAGACCTTGTCTGCTTCCATAAACTTTAGCAAAATGATCTTCTTTGAATACATAAACTATTGGATCGTCCAAAGGTGGTAATGCTGCTTGCATTCCTCCTAAGAATAATAAACGGATCCTTTACGTTTTCATCAATTTTATTATTAAAACTAGTTTGTTTACTAAATCTACCGAGAAAGTTTGTGTACCTATCGTACCGCGGGGGGGGGGGCAAATTGACCGGTAATTAAAAAAGTTATTTTTTTCATTATTCAAATAGTTTTGAATTTGTTCTGACTTCTTTCCTAAGATTGTTTGAAAAAAAAGGGGGTCCCAACTTTTAACTCACCAAGATACTTAAGATTTTTGTATTAAATGGTTTTATTGCATTTATTTAGCCCCCACTTAATTCTCAACACCCTAAATGAATGCTTCTTCTCTTTCTCTTTTATATTTTAGTTATAATGAATTGTTCTCTGATCAATGATAAGAATAAATTTGGTCTTCCTTTGTCCTTTGATTACATCCTGTTATTTCCTGTTCATTCTCCATCTCGTTGGCACTGACATATCCATTAATATATACCTACACTCTTTTGAATAGAAATCGATATTCTGAGATATGTTTATAACGACATAACACTTTTTCTCAACGGTCATTTTGATCGAACGCGGTAGTTTAGGTCACGTGACAATAACGTGACAATATGGACATCATAACGTTTAAAATTTGAAAATGGTGATGAATTTGACCGCTTTAATAGATTTACCGTTAAAAAAAACATCATTTCGATACATTTTAGCAAATATTTAATATTTCACGAGTGAATTTTATTAATAAATTTTTTGTTTTTTTTTTTCTCAATCGAATTTAAACGTGGCAAAATCTCCAAATTTTATCTCCAGGATACATGAATTATTATTATTATTATTTCACCGACAATTTCAAAATGAAAAAAAAAACTTACCGACAATTCTTTTAAATCTTTTATGAGTATTTTCATTATTATTTTGACATAAAACTTTATTGGAAAAAAATAAAAAATTTAAAAAGATTAAAAAAATATTTTGACTAACAATATACATTATTGCGAAAATTCAACTAAATATTTTTATTTAGCGATATTATATTATCATTATTTTATTTCCTTTTTCAAAAGGAACGACGTTCCCGATAATAAAATCTCATCTTTTTTTTTATTTTATTTAATTAAATATTTAAATAAAAATTACGAACGAGTCAAAAAAATTCTCCAGCCTACGCATATTATTACGTGCTACGCCATTTTTATTTTTTTTTTAAATTGAGAATTCTTATCATTTCCTTCTCTTTAAAAAATAATTCATAATTAATTGTAATGAAATAAAAAATAAATAAATAAAAATTCAATTATTAAAAGTTAATGTTTAATGTATTTAACCAATATCATCAGATTTTTAAAATTCAATTAGAAAAAATGAACAAATGTAAACTAATAAATACATTGTGTGTGTTGTGTGTGTTTGTGTGTCATATTTGTGAGAGCTGTAAAATTAACAAAAAATTAAAAAAAAAGGAAATCTAGGAACGCGGGGGAATGGGGGAGGGGAAAGAGGCAGTGACAGGAGGGGGGGTGATAGGACGATAATAATAATAATAATAATAATTAAATTATAATATTAATGCAATTAATTAATTAATTAATTTTTTTTTTTTTATCTCTATATAACGATAGAGAATGTTAAAAACATTCCAGCGCCATTTTTTTTTTTTCTTTTCAATTTTTTTTTTCATTTTTTTTTGTTTTTGTTTTTGTTTTTTTTTTTTTCATTTAAAATTGTACTCTGCTAGTTTAATTTTTCATTCGTGAAGAACGAAAACAAAACAAAAAAAAAAAAAAAAAAAAAAAATTGAATTCCGAACATCTGAGTCTTATAAAAATGGTTCAGGAACCCCACCAATCAGGTCCATTGCTACTATTGTTCGGAGTCGAATATGATCCTCCATAGCCACTTTCGTGATTCATGTAAAATCCTGGAAAAACAAAAACAATAAAAAATTAATCCCAATTCGAAATCTACTCTGATTTAAATGATAATGATAATAATTAAACCCTCAGATCTCATAATCTTACAATCATTAACAAGTTTCGATTTTCACAAATATTATACCGTAATGGAAAAGAAATGTTGAGCGAGAGAGAGAGAGAGAGAGAGAGAGAGAGAGAGAGAGAGAGAGAGAGAGAAAAAAAAAATGATTAAAAAGGGAAAAGCAAGAAAATGGGGATAAGTGACAGGAGATGGCGATATATACATATTTGTGAAAAATCAAAACATTATTTCGAGGCGCTTTTTTTAATCATAGGGTTTGATAAATTCAAATCACAAAAAAAAAAAAAAAAAAAAAAATCAAAAAGGTTTTACTCTACCTTGGTGAGAAGGATTACCACTTCCATACGAATTATAACCACTTCTTGAGTTTTGGTTTCCACCAGAACGTGAATCTAAAAAAGATGCAAATGAATGAATTAAATTTTTCTTTTTTTAATGAAAATTCTTAATTTTTTTTTTTTTTTTTCAGGTAGACATACTAGATTGTTGACGATAGTCTCTGGCTCCGAAACCTCCTCCGAAACGAGTTTTCGAACCTCCTCCTCTCCTGGATGTCTGCGGAGCGTTCATGTCGGATGCGAACGCTTCCAACCATTTCGGAAGGTCCTGATTTGTTTCCGTTAACAATTCAACTAAATCCCGTACAATGTTTCGATTTTTTTCATTGAAAAAAGACGTGGCTACACCCAAATTTCCCATACGACCGGTTCTCCCGATTCTGTGAACGTATTCTTCAATATCCGATGGCAAATCGAAATTAATTACGTGAGTAACGTGAGAGATGTCGAGACCTCTTGCCGCAACTGCTGTAGCCACAAGTATGGGAGTTTCTCCGCTTCGAAATCTTCTTAAAGCATCTTCTCTTTCACGTTGTGACCTTTCACCGTGAATACAACTCACCGGATAGCCCTGATAATGAAGATATTCTTCCAAACAATCAGCTCCTTTTCTAGTTTCAACAAAAACCAATGTCAAGGATTCGGTTCCTACATATTTAAAAAAAAAAAAAAAATTATTATTAATAATAATGAGACATGTAAATTTTTTAATAAACAAACAAAAACTTCAAGACGTCAGTTAGATAACGTTACCATTTTTATAACGCGTAGCATTTAGGAGGTCTAATAAGAAAGATCGTTTATCCGCCTCTTCAACCCACACAATATTTTGTGTTATATTTTTTGATGTGGATCCTACGCGACCAACGGCGAGAAAAATATAATTGTTTAAAAAATTTCTTGCCAATTTTTGTTTGTTTATGAGAAGAAGAGAAAAAAAAAAAAAAAATATGATAAATGCAAAATTTTTTTTTTTTTTTTTTTTTTAAGAAAATATATGTATATATACCTGTATAACATCAGGGAAAGTAGCAGAAAACATCAATGTTTGCCTTTCTCCTGTTCTCGGCATATCTTTTTCAACAATTCTTCTTATTTGAGGCTCGAAACCCATGTCCAGCATGCGGTCAGCCTCGTCGAGCACCAGAAACCTTAAACAAAATTTATTTTAAATGTGATGTGTGGAAAGAAAGAAACTTAAAACTTCATTTTTTTCATATTGAAAACTCACTTGCAATTTTCGAGTCCAATTTTGTCTCTATCCAACATATCTGCTAATCGACCGGGCGTTGCAACTAAAAGATGGCATCCTTTCTCCAATTCGCGAAATTGATCTTGAAGATAAGAACCACCGTACACGACGCAAGGTCGAAGTCTGGAGCGGTACGAAAATTTACGAGCTTCATCATAAATTTGAGTAGCGAGCTCTCGAGTCGGAGCAAGTACGAGTCCCATGGGATACTGTTTTCGATGGCTGTAAGGCCGATTATTTTGAGGACCGCGCTGATACATTTGGTTCAAAATAGGAACGAGAAAAGCCGCAGTTTTTCCGGATCCGGTTTGAGCGCAGGCCATAAGATCTCTCCGACTCATTATTATTGGTATTGCATATTTTTGAACGGGAGTGGGTTTGTCGTAACGAGCTAACATTATATTATTTGAAATTATTTCTGTCATCTTGATCTCACTGAACTGCGACACAAAAATTAATTGTAAATAATAATAAAACTTTTCCGTGTAAAATATAAAATTAAAGTGATTAATCTCTCTTACTGATTCAATATGAGGTGGGACGTTTTCGCCAGTCGCGTCCACGGGTATATCTTCGTATTTGCTGAAGTTAATACCTGTATTGCCCGTCCCAAACAATTCGATTTCAAGGCGCTCATCCCTTGCCGTTGGGACGGTCCAGCCTGATTCCTTAAAAAAAAAAAATAGCCCGGATTTTCAAAATCACATTACAGAAGAAAAAAAAAAAAAGAAAAAATTTACAAATAATATAAATGTAATTTCTTTACAGAATTTTCTTTCCATCTTGATGATCCTCCTCCTCGTTCTCCTCTGCGATCACTATACCTGCGGTCGTCACGAACCGGTTCCTGCCAGCGATCATTTCTAACAGGGGGTCCATCATCACGGTCTTGCCATCTGTTTCCACTATTATTACCTCCTCTGTTGCCACTATTGCTTCGCCAAGCATCCCTAAATATAAATAAAGTTCCGTATGAACTATTTAAGTTTAAAATTTAAGAGTTTTCTCTTTACAGACTTGGGTAAGTTGGAATAACTTTTTTTTTTTTTTAAACAAATTACTAAATTCAAAACTATGTGACATCCTGGATCTTCCAGGAAACGTTTGAATTTCCAAGAGAAATTTAAAGTTCCCTTTCGAGATTCATTTAAATTTCCCTTGATCACGTTTAAGGAAAATCCTGATGCGGTTCCAATTTTATTCTACCAGCTTCTAGGAAGTGTTCAATCTCGATAATCGAGTCGACCAGGGTAAAACTGGTTAAATTTTTTTTTTTTTTTTTCCTGGTATAAAAAATACACATCTTACCGTCTGTCTCTGTCGTAACTATCACCTCCATTGGCGCACGATCTATCATCGTATCGTTTATTATTTCTTGAAAAATTACTGTAATCTGAGCTTGAACTAACGCGTCCACCACTACCTTGTCCACCTGTGACAAACATCATGAGTTTAATGAACTATAAAAAAAAAAAATAAATTTAAAATGTTTAAGTGATAAACAACAAACCACGATATCCTGAACTTCCTCCGCCTCTGTTCTCGTGTCGATTATAATCCCGATTTGCTGAGGAAGAATCACGTTCAGAATAGTGATTGTCCTCGCCAGAACCACTTAATTGCTTTTTACGCAAATGTGGAGGAATGTAACGGCCAACTAATGCACTATTTTTTTGACTTTGGCCGCTCTGCAAGTCCAGACCAGCAAGCTGTAAATAATTCCTGCGTTTATTATAAATTTAACTTTATACAAAAATGTTTTACACCACATTATTATCTCTAATTGGCCATAACATTAATTGTCAACTATTTTATTATATTATTAAAAATATACCGGAAAAAAAATTTTTTTTTTTTTTGTGATTATAACAATGTAGTTTATTCATGAGTAACAAAACAGTAGACTTTATATTTCAGAATCATTCTAATCTCAAATAATTATTCCATTTTCTTTTTAAAAATCATTAAAAATTAATAATAACTAGTCTAACAGTTTAAGTTATTACAATTAAATTAACATAAGGAAAAATTACTATCGAATTAGAAATGCCAAAGACGACAAAACTCGATGAAGAAATAAAAATGTAATAAATAAATCATAATTTGTTTAAAAATAATTAGATAATATAAATTTATAATTTACTATAAGTAAAGACTTAAAAAAGGAAAGAATTATTTAAATTTATATGATAAATTAAAAAAAAAAACTAAACTAAAATCCCATTCCCCTAAAATAAATGAATTACAAGGATATACTTAACAGTATTACAAATATCTTGCAACAATTACATAACACTTAGAAAAAAACAATAATTATAAGATTAAATATTTAATTAAATTTAAAATTTCTTATAATTAACAGCAAATTTTTGCTTTTACTGATTATACATTTGATACTATGAAAAATTTTATTCGGTATTGAAGGAAAACAATTTGATTAAATTATCTAATAAATATTTCTAAATAATTGCTAAAAAAAAAAAAAAAAAAAACTTCAATAAAATTTATCAATTGAAAAAGATAAAAATAAAAAAAATAATTGATATAACATGAAATGAATGAATTTCATAACACATAAATAAATTTTAAAAAAAAATGGAAAATATAAATAAGCATACCGTAAAAAACTATTTTTTTTTTTTTTTTTTTTTTTTGCTAAGAATCGAGAGCCTTTAAGTAAAAATTTTATATCTATGAATAATTTGTAGATAATCCACTGGAAACTTTATCAAAACTCTTGCTTAAAAAATGATTCATTATGTATTTTTATGTATTAAAGTTAGAAAATTACAAATAACAATCGAAATTAAGCGATTGTAACAACGTTTTTAAATAGTAGAAAAATTTATTTAACGATTTTGCTAACTACCATTTTAGGTCAAATGAGTTACGATAAATTATTTTTTGCCATAAATTTAACTTATAATTAAATACCGTATAAAATTTCATAATAACTACAAAATGTAATTTTAAAATAACAATTAAAAGTTTCAAAAAATAATGCCTAATAATTAACATGAATTTGTGCAATGGACTCTTTCCATTGTAGTTAGCAGTGGAAATCAATATAAACGAAATTTTAAAAAAGAATTCATTGTACGAAATATCAAATGCGACAAATTGTTTCTTAATAAAATCAACATTTAGCTACCAAATAAATTTAAAAAAAAAAAATCTCATACTTGCTGCTCTAGACCTGATCCATTTTGGTTGGGTACATTACTCATATTACTATCAATCAAAACGTTTTATTTGCGACCTCTTCTTCAAAGCGTCGTCTTCATAAAATTTTACACAAAGAATTTCGATTTTGCTTTCGTCACTTCCCTTCCTTGGTTTCTGAACGTAGATTTAACCCAATATTAAGCCTATTATTAATCGAATGGTTGACTTTTTAAAAGCGGCAAATTCGATATATCGAATCGGCCATATTGAACTCGTACTCAATATCTACATGTTAAAAGTTAGATACTTTTAGGTATTGGATTATTAATCCGATCATGTAAGTTTAAATTGATGTAATCGGCACAATGTTTATATTTTACAGATTTCACTCGTAAACGTACTTTTACAAAATTAAGCTCTTTTTTTATATAAAATCATGTTGTTATTTTTAAAGTTTCCATAATTTTTTAATTTGAGATTAGGTTACAAAAATATTTTTACGTTTCGAAACTTGAACTGTTTTTGTATAGTGTAATTAATTTTAAGTCAAAAATAATTTAAATTAATTTGTTTTAGACGATGGGTCGTGTAATCAGAGCCCAGAGAAAGGGTCACGGAAGTGTTTTCACTTCTCATACGAAACATAGGAAGGGTGCTCCAAAACTTCGTTCTTTCGATTTTGCCGAACGTCATGGTTACATTAAAGGTGTAGTAAAGGATATTATTCATGATCCAGGTCGTGGTGCTCCCATTGCCGTAGTGCACTTTAAAGATCCTTATAAATTTAAAACAAGAAAAGAGCTATTCATTGCTCCTGAGGGAATGTATACAGGGCAATTTGTTTACTGTGGAAAGAAAGCCAATTTGCAAATTGGTAATGTCTTAGCTGTGGGATCTATGCCCGAAGGTACTATTATTTGCAATTTAGAAGAAAAAACCGGAGACCGAGGTAGATTGGCCAGAGCTTCAGGAAATTTTGCCACTGTTATCGCTCACAATCCTGACACGAATAGAACTAGAGTTAAACTTCCATCCGGAGCTAAGAAAGTTATTCCCAGTAGCAACAGAGCCATGATAGGAATTGTTGCTGGAGGAGGTAGAATTGATAAACCTGTGTTAAAAGCTGGTAGAGCATATTATAAATACAAAGCTAAAAGAAATAGTTGGCCTAAAGTTAGAGGAGTTGCTATGAATCCAGTTGAACATCCTCACGGAGGAGGTAATCATCAACACATTGGTAAAGCCTCGACAGTCAAAAGAGGAACAAGTCCTGGTAGAAAGGTTGGTCTTATTGCTGCCAGGCGAACTGGTAGAATACGTGGTGGTAAAACGGAAAACAGAAAAGGAAATGATTAAAGTTATTAATAAAATTTAACAATTAATGAATAAAAAAAGTATTCATTGAACTGATAATGTATTTTTTTTTCCTTTTTTTAATATAAAAAAAATGACTTTTAAAAAAATAAAAACTTTAATTCTTTTAATAGATGGTATTTACTTTTTTGGTGCCTAAGGTTACTTTTTTCAAGAATTATAATTTTTTTATAAATCAACTTTAATTAGGCATATTTAATTTTTTTTCTTCGAAATACTGTTACAAAACTATTTAGTTACTTTATTCGAATAACATTTAATTATTTGCTTTCGATTACAAACATAAGGCTGCATAAATTCACAAATTCACAAATTCTTTAACTCCTGTCTTTTTTTATGTCTCATTTGATTAAATAGTAATTACTTTGATAAAAGAAAAATTATTCAACTCAATTATTATTATAAGATTAAAAGTCAAATTATTTTATACCCACATATGACAAAAAAGGTACGAAACATATGCATCAGTTTATTAAAAAAGGAGGAAACAATAAATTATCGCGACAAAATTGATTCCATATAATGTATAAAAAGAATTGTCATTTTAATGTTCGATATATCAATATCGCGATTAATCGAATTTATATCAAAAGTTAAAAATGGCCACGAAAATATTTTTTTAAAATTTTTTACGTTTTATTATTATTTATTTTATTGTTATTTAAAAAAATTCATTTAAAATCCATAAAAATTATTGTTGTGCCAATTATTTATTTTTTTCGCGACATGAATTCGTTTTTATAAGTATGAACTTGAGTAAAGAAAATGAAAATCGTAAACGTGTTCTTTTATATTCGTTTCCCGTTGAACCAAAGTTAAAAAATAATTGTAATCGCGATTATCCGAAATGGTCTAAAAAAAAATGTAAAACAAAAACATATAAAGGGAAAATAAATACTGTTACAAATAGTCAATCAATTATATTTAATGGAAAAAATGATTGTTTCCTTTTGCGTTATTCAGCAAGTTCTCCAACAATTGTAAGTTATAATATTTTTTTTGTAGTTTTAAGATTTCTTTTGATAAACAAAAGTATCATTTTATTTTATTGTAAATTAATGTTTCTTTTTAAAACTATTTACTGTGATTTATAAATATTTACTTAATAACATTTTTAAATGAGAAAGTAAACTGCTTTATAGTTATTCAGTCTGCTTCCAATATATATATGTATATTTCATTTGATTTGTCTTAAAATTTGTTTTACTTATAATAATTAGGTAAGAATAAATTAATTGAATCAATATTTATATGTATTAGTATATAACAGTGTCAAGGTTTGTTATAAATTTTAAAATCTAAACAATATCTAAGCCAATTTTTTTTTTTTTTTTTTGGGAGCTTTTGCTAAATTTCATTTATATTTTCATTAAAGTCCAATTTTTTTTTTTTTTTGTATATGTTAGATTATTTTTAATCAACCAACAAACAAATTATTGATTAGGAAATTATTTTTTTACTTAAAAAAAAAAAAAAATTTTTTAAATCAAAATAAGAAATGGTTAATTAAACATAGACATATATAAAAATTTTAACGTTTTTTTCCCTTTTTAAATAAGCTTTTCTTTATTACGTAAAATTTAGCCGCTCCTTGCATGAGCCTTCGATAGCTCAGTTGGTAGAGCGGTGGACTGTAGTCGGTTAAATCGTATAGTTATCCATAGGTCGCTGGTTCAAATCCGGCTCGAAGGAAATTTTTTTTCTTTTTTTTTCTTTTTTTTAATATTTTCGATGGTAAATTTTAAACAAAATATTAAATATTACTATATATAGTGTTTTTAAATAAGAAATGAAAATTAGTGACTTTAATAGTGTCCCCCACGTGTTTTCCTTAATGGATTAGACACGTAATTCAGTATTCAATTGTTAAGTCATTGCAATAAAATTTTACGTATGGTAATAATTAAATAATAATAATTTATTACTCATCCGGGAATAATATTTAAAATAAAAATCATCGAAAGTTTGACAGTTTGTTTTTCTTAACAAACGAATGTTTTCTTTTTTGTTGCTGTTTTTTTATTTCAAAAAAATTTTGTTATTTGTTTGTGTTATTTCTATGAACTAATCAAAAACCATTTCGGGTAATTATTTCGGTGGGTAGAAGAAATTTAATTTTTTTAACATTACATTTTTTTTAAAATGATTATACATTCATTTAATATCCATACGGTAAATTCATTTTACTTATAATTTAAACTCGCGTTAATTTACAAAGATTAAAAAAAAGCTTGATTTAACGTTGATCCTAACGTTCAACTTATAATTATTTATATTATTAACGAAGTTTTGCGCATGCTCAATTGTTAACCATGTGTAGGCTGTATGGTCGACTCCATGGTTTGTTGATTGTTTATTACGACCAAACATATACATACATATATTAAGTTTTCATAAGTTTATTATTATTATTTATTTTATTTATTTATTTATTTATTTTGTTGTAAATTCAAGTAAAAGTAATTGAATTTATTTTCTCATTTAAAATTAATTTAATAACTAAAAAAAAAAAAAAAAAAAATGTGAATTCAAGGTTTTCTTTTTTTTTTTTTAAATGTTAAAAAACACTCACTAAAATTTCTTTTTTTTTTCTTTGTAAAGAAATTTTTTTTTTTTTTTTCGTTTGTAAGGATTCGCGTACAAAACAAACAAAAAAAGAAACAAAAAAAATTTTCTTAGGTAAGTTTCGAAGGTTTTTGTATTTTCCTTATTATTATTATTAATTGTTTTATAATTAAAATTACTTATTAACTTTTACTAATGAATTTTAAAAAAAGGGAAAGAAAATGTTCGTGTTTGTTTGTTTGTTCGTTTGTTTGTTTTTCTTATTATTATTATTATTATTGCGAAATTGACGTCACGATCGATGATTTTAATTTTTTTTTTTTTTTTTTTTTGGACATTTAAAAAAAAATGGCGCACGATAATTTTTATTTGATTAAATGACGACGACGACGACGACGAGGTTTCTATTATTATTATTATTATTATTATAATTAGTTTAATTTGTTGTCATTTAAACAAAAGTTCATCATTTTAATATGTCTTGTCATAATAATAATAATAATAATTCCTGTTTTTTTTTTTTTTCAAACCGATGATAATAATGAGTATTTCAGGCCCGGGTCATTGACGTTTCCTTGTATAAAAAAAAATTTAAAATTCTTTTTACAATTTTTTTTTTCTGTTCAATTGTTTGTTATGTTTCCTCCTACAAAAACTACTACGCCATTTTTTTTTTTTTTTAAATTTCATTTATTTAAAAAAAAATTATTATTATTATTTATATTTCTGTCGTCGTCGTCGTCGTCGTCGTCGTCGTCGTCCTTTCTTAAAAAATTAATTTTTCCTCCGGTAAGATTTTCTTTTCTTTTTAATTACTCAATGATAATAATAATAATATTTTCAATAGAAAAGTTTTTCTATCGTAAGGAAATAAAATAAATGGTGGATGCATGAATTGTCTGGTCGTCTGCCAAAAATGGGGGGGGGGAATTTTTTTTTTTTAATTTCGTGCCAAATTTTTTTTTTTTTTTTATTAGAAAACATTTATTTCATTTATTTCTCCATTTCTATTTATTTATTTATAATTTATTAAAAAATAAATAAATAAATAAATTCGTGTTAAATCAGGTGAAAAAAAAAAAAAAAAAATTTACATCATTTTGAATACAAAAAAAAGAAACCTGAAATTGTCATCAAAACTCGTTTATTTTTTAAATCGATCGATGATTATTATTATTATTATTATCATTATTATTATTAATAATGTGTTTTATTTAAGACGATTTATTATTATTATTGATTTTATTAATTTTTTTTAAATGAGAATATTGATTTGTTTAATTCTCAATGTCGTTATTTAATTATTAATCGTTTAATTAACTTGAAATTAATATTAATTTATTTATTATCATTATCATCATCATTATTATTATCATCATCATCATCATCATCATTATTATTCGTTAGACTAAAAAAAAAAAAAAAAAAAAAAAAAATGAAAAGAGAGAGAATTTAGAGAGGATGGATCATGATAAATTTTTTTTTGTTGTCACAATTTGATATTTCACTGACATTTATAACGTCTAAGGTGGGGTTGGGAGGGGTCCCGGGGAGTGGGGGGCAAGGGGAAATGCGTACGCGTAAAATGATAAGAACCCAAAAAAAATTGTTCAGGTACCGTTATTTAAAAAAATTTTTTTTTTTTTTTTTTTTTTGGGAGGAAAAAAGTAAAACGTCGAATTTATAAATAATAATAATAATAATATATTTTTTTTTAGCCTCGAGAGTTACATGTTTAACCTTTGACCTTTTCATTCATTTTTAATAATACTCGTGAACCCGAGTTGATTAATTAATTTTTTTTTTTTTTTTTTTATTAATTAGCCCCCTCATGGTGGGTCCATTTTTATTTATTTATTTATTTATGTTAATAAAACGACGACGAAAATATTATTATTATTATTATCATTATCATTATCGTTTAGTTTTTCGTACGATGGGTAATAATCATTACGTATTTCATGGAAATAACGATTGATAATAATGATAAAACGATTATTATTATTATTATTTTTAAATTGAAGTACTGGAGGGAACCTTTTTCGTTGAACTTTCCCACCTTTCTCTCTCTTTCTCTCTTCCTCTTCCTCTCTCTCTCTCTCTTTCGAAAGAAAAGAAAAGGTTGAAAAACATTTAAATCAATTAGTTTTTGTTTCGTCTGATGAAATGAAAAAAAATTCCAACGTTTATAACCAAATAAAATCAACCTTTGGATTCTTTGCCAGAAATTTTTTTTTTTTTTGTTTCGGGCTTAAATCCAACTTTATAATTTTCTTCTTCTTTCTTTTCGGTCAGAGAAAGAGAGAGAGAGAGAGACAGGGAGAGAAAGAAAGATAGAGAGAGAGAGAGAGAGAGACAGGGAGAGAAAGAAAGATAGAGAGAGAGAGAGAGAGAGACAGGGAGAGAAAGAAAGATAGAGAGAGAGAGACAGGGAGAGAAAGAAAGATAGAGAGAGAGAGAGTTCAAACTACTTTCTCATCATTTAAAAAAAAAAATTTTTTTCTCATATTTACTATTATTATTATTATTATTATTATTATTATTATTATTTCCTTTACACGTATATTTCTATAATAAATAAATAAATAAATAATACATTAGTTTTTTTTTCTTCAAATTTCGCAACATTTTATTTTTTCCTATGATTAATAATAATAATAATTTATTTAACAATAATGTTTTCGGTGTGTCAGAGTTCAAAGGTGACTGTTAGAAGGTATATATATATATATGAGAAAATAGTAACGGTTTTAAAAAATTTTTACCCAATTAAAAAAAAAAAAAAAGCGAAAAAAATTATTATTATTATTAATAATTTCCTTAGCGTGAAAAAAAAAAAAAAAATTGAAATTTTTTAAAGAAAATATGAAATGGAAAATTTTTTGATTTTTGGCGTCATTTTAAATATTTTTTTTTTTTTTTAAATTTTACGACGTATTTTATTTATTTAAATATTTCGAGCAAGGCGCGGTTTCTATTTTTGTCTTTTGTCGAACGTTGACGAAGTTTCTTTTCTTTTCTTTTCATTTCCATTTACTTATTATTATTATTATTATTATTACTTCATAAAACTATGATTTATCATCATTATCATCATCAGATTAACATCTTTTAATTTATAATAAATTTGAACTTTAACGAGAACAATTTTTTTTTTACAAAAATTCTTCTTCTTCTCTCTAAATAATAATAATAATGATAATTGTAATTAATATTGAATTAATTGAAGAGAGAGAGAGAGAAATTAATGTCAATTTAACCGATCGTGATATTTTTTTTTGAAAGAGAGAGAGGGAGAGAGTGTGGGAGAACATGATGATGGTGATGATAATAATAATAATAATAACTGTTTCATTTAAGTATCATCATCATCATCATCGTGTTCATATTATTTACCAAAATCGAGAAAACATATTGCAGAAAAAGAAAAAAAAAATTATTATTATTATCATATCATTTCACGTGATAACATTCAATAACATTTATTTTTTCGGGAGGGGAGGGGTGGAGGGGTAGAAAGGGAGGGATGGGAATTTAATAGGTTTTAAACTTTGACTGGCATTTGTGATAAAATTATAAATGATCTCTTTTTTCTTTGTAATGATAATGATAATAAATAATAATAATGGTACTACGTTGCCGCGTGCAATTTCCCCCCTTTCCTCCCCCAAAAAAAAAAAAAAAAAATTAATCTGCCAAGGAAATTACAACTGATTTAAACGTGGAAAGGGTAGGGAAAGGGGGGGGGAAGACTACGTTTAAAGCACAAACAAGGGTGTAACTTGGACACACCCTTAGCTTAATCATTTTATTATTATTATTATTATATAACTCTATAAAATGTTATTTAAACGTTTGATGAGTTTGTTATAGCGTGTGAGAGAGAGAGAAAGAGGCAAACACTAAGAGAGAGAGAGAGAGAGAAAGAGGCAAACACTAAGAGAGAGAGAGAGAGAGAGAGATGGTTTTTTTTCACCCCGTATAAAAAATCGGTAATTTTTTTTTTTATCAGTTTTTAATGTCACGTCCCTCCACCATTAATTTTCATCGATTCACGTTAAAATGGGAAAAAAATTTTGACCGTTGAAAAAAAAAATTTTGACCGTTAAAAATAAAATTTTAAAATTCAACGACACATACATACAAAGTTTTTTTTTTTTTTTTTTTCAAAGGTCATCAAATGTCATTATCACGAATCATTTACCCGTATTAATTTTTTTCTTCTTTCTTTCTCGGTTGATTATTGAAAGTTTCTAGAAGTTTCTTTTTGGAATTTTAATTCGATGTTTATATAAATGCATGATTCGTTTATTGATTTTTGAAACAAATATTGATAATATTTGTCGCGGACGTTGACATCACAACTAAAAAAAATAAACGACGAATCATTATTATTTTAGGTCTTACTTTAACCAAAAATAATAATAATAATAATTAATAAATTAAAATTGTTTCGGTACGATTATTATTTATTATCATTATTATTAATAAATATTCATTCAATGAATGAATGAACACGTCCAGGGAATGTGAAATTTCAATCTTAAAAAAAAAAAAAAACGTTTTTGAATCATTCAACCAAAAATTATTATTAATAATAATAATAATAATGATTTTTTTTTATTATTTTTTTATCATCGTAAGTGACGTCACATTTTTTTTATTACCTGGTTAAAGAAGTAATAATAATAATAAAAACCTATTTAAAACTATTAAAACATGAAATTTTTCACGGTAACGATCGTTAAAAAAAACTGAAACATTATTATTATTATTATTAAAAATTACGTCAATACGTATGACGAGTTAATAATAATAATAATAATAATAATAATAATAATAATAATAAACGGTGAAATAATTATTTGAATGTTTGTTTGTTATCACATGTTATCAATTCCAAATTTATCCAGATTTCCAGATTTTTTTTTTTTAAACGGTCAAGGTAGTAAAGGGAATTTTTTTTTTTTTGCTTCACGTGACCTTGTCTAATTCCACTTTAAATGTGTTATTAAGGTTGTCGTTTATTTATTACCACGGTCGTTTTTTTTTTTTTTTATTTCGTCATTTTAATAAATTTTTTTTTTTTCCTTTTTTAAATAATTTATTAAATTTTTTAATATTAATTAATTATTGATAATTACGTTAATTATTTTATTTAAAAAAAATAAATTTACTTTCACTTTTTGCCGGAAATAATAATAATAATAAAACAAGGAGAAAATTACACGGTTCAATTAAATATGTTTAGTAATAATAATAATAATAATAATAATAATAAAATTAAAATTTATATAAAATTAATACATAAATTAGTAAACTTTTTCTTTTTATTATTATTATTATTATTATAATTCTCAAAAGTTACGGTGTTATTACTTCCGGTGTAACAGATACTTATGTACATAACTGTATTAAATAAAAAAAAAATTTTTTCGTGTTTGTTTGTATCGGTCGATATTTAAGTGTGTCAAAAATAAATAACAAAGCAGAAGATAAAGTTTTTGTTTTTTTTTAAAGTTTCGAAAACGTAGAGAGAGAGAGAGAGAAAGAGACAGAGAGAGGATGAGAGAGAGAGAGAGAGAGAAAAAGAGAGAGAGAGAGAGAGAGAGAGGAGAGAGAGAGAGAGAGAGAGAGAGAGAGAGAGAGAGAGAATGGCATGGGTCCAAACATGGGAAACCGAAAAAAAAAAAAAAAAAAATTTTTTTTTTTTTTACTGCTGCCACGTCGTCTTTCCTATTTTATTTATTATTTGCTTGTGCTTGACCGTTGTTGGCCGATTTGTCTGACAAAAATATAAAAGAGGAATCCTCCATTTTGTTTTGTTTCTAATCACGAAGAATATGTGATTTTATTTTACATAAACATTATCATTAAATAATCACTTCATTTAATAAAAATTTTTTAATTAAAAGAGACTCTTATGAAACTCGCATAAAACAAACAAACAAACAAAGCCGATCATCGTTTGTTTAATTGAACGAATTAAAAAAAAAAAAAAAAAAAATCTTAACTTGAGAGAAAATATATAAAAATAACTTTTGTTGTAAATTTCTTCCTACTCTTTTCTTCTCTCTTTTGATTAATTTCCTTGCAAAAAAAAAAAAAAAGAAAAATTTGTTTTACTTTATAAGAAATAATGATATTTTTTCTTGTTTTGTGTAATGCGACACCATTTTTCATTATGAACATATATATATATAATGTTTTTTATACTGACTTTCATAAAAATTTCCACGTTTTCTAAATAAAATAAAATTTATTGGTGGCTATCGAAAGAGAGATTTCATTTTTAGCTTTTTTTTTTTTTTTGACTCAGTTTTGTTGGCAGACTCTTCGATACGCACGCTTTTCTTTTTTTTAAATTTAATTTAATTTAATTTAATTTTTTTTTTTTTGTTTGTTTTAAAACGATTTATATTTTGTCATTTTTTTCGTGTGTTTCAGGAAATTTAATTCAATAATAATAATAATAGTGTGAATTCTTTAGATTTTTTATTTTTTTTTTTTTTTGTTCTTTCGAAATGACATGTACGAAATTGATTCCTTATTTGAAAGAGATTATCGATGCGTAACTTCGGTCGTTAAATATAGTAATTGCGTTGTGGATTTCGGTCCGGGAAAATCGATTCATTATCCGGAACTAAATGCTTGTTTTTTAAAAGAAAATTTCAATTGCAACGCGATACATTTCGGTTACGCCATACCTGTATTAATTATTCCCATCGATGAAAATCCGGATTTTGTTGAACTCGTGTTCGATTGTACGCAAGATTTAGATCCTCTCGTCGCGGGTTACATTCTACAAAATCATCCGGAATTTAATAGTATACGATCCGGAGTGGATCCTTTTAAAAAAAATATCGAAGACGATTGTATAGATGAAGTGAAAAACAATTTCAAAGATTTTACGGATTTATTATATCAACAAAATGTACGGGAAGGGAAAATCGAGAAAGGAATAGAAGGAAATAGGTGGGATCCGATGGCGACGACGGCAAAACATGATCACGTGAGAAATTATAGCGAGCCGGAAGAAGATATAGCTGCCATAGCTAAACAAATATCGGATCATGCAGAAGCCATTTATCAAA